CCGTTTTTACTTAACTTTTTATTTATAAAGCACGATTATTTTACGGTTATTATAAACCTATTTTATTGGTTTTTTTACGTTTTTTCCCGGTAGCTAACCGGTTCGGTACGTTAAAACTATTTTTTTGGGGCCATTTTTTTGGCCTTTGTTACTCCTTTCCTGTAATACCCCCGTCCTTTTCAGGTATTTACCCGCTAAAATTTAGTATTTTCTTTATTTTATAAACTCGCTTCCAATAGGTTTGCTTTATACGCTTAAACAATTTCTTTCGTAATATCCCTTTTTAAAATTTACAAATTTTTTAATTCGTTATAACCTATCCATTTAACTAAATATTTTCGTTTCCGCAAAAGCCCTTTGTATTTTAGCAAAGCCTTTACCTTAAAGCTAATTTTTTTTTTTCGATTTTTGGTTTTTATTTTTGGTTTTTTGCCGGGCCTTTTTTTAAACGCCCGCAACAAATTTGCCGGAAATACGTTATATATTCGGTAATTTACCGAAAGCTTTAACCGAAACGCTAAACCGGCTAACCCAACCATTTTTAGGATTTGGAAAGGTTTTAACCATTTGTTCGATAGCTTTTTCGACGGCCTTTTTATTTTAATATTCGCCGTATTTAATAATACCCAATTGCTTACCCCGAAAGGCACCGGGGTCCTGCCTTTATTATAATACTTTTTGTACATATTATTCGCTTTTTTTAACAATTTTTTGGCTTGCTTTTTAATTGCCTCCAAAGCCCCCGCCCTAACCTTAACCGTTACCGAAGGTTTTTTTTTAATTATTTAAAAGTTATAAAGCTTTCGTAAGTAAAACTTTATTAATAAAAACGCCGGGGTTTTTTGCAACCTTAAATGCACGTTCGTATTATGCACTTACGCTGCTAAATGCAATAGCAACGCCTAATCGTTTTGCTTTTTGCAACAAAAGTACCAAAAGTAATGCTTTATTGCTTAATTTGTTCGTTCCGTTTGCCCGTCGGTTTAAAAGTAATATGCTATTAATAGCTTTTTTACAACTTTTAAATATTTGGCAAAGGTTATCCAAAACCCGTTTGTAAATAATTTGTTCCGGTTCGATACAATCTTTTTAAGCATTTTTAATAGCCTTTAAACGTATGCAAATAAAAGGTTTTCTAATTTTTTATTGGTTAATTTCGTAAACGTTAAAATAAAAAAATTATATTTAATAAACCGATTAACCATTACCAATATTGCATCGCGCTTTTTGCCGGCTTTATTTACCAACGTTAAAAACTTTCCGATAAAATCCATCGATAATTTTTGTTTCGGGCGGTTTGGCACGGGCAAAAATGCTAATAACCCGTAAAGTGCTTGTATTTTTGGCTTTATTTGCTGGCATATTTAATACGTTCGTACGTATTTGCGTACGTTTTTAGCCATACCCGGCCATTTAAACTACCGTTTAAGCTTTTTTAAAATTTTAGCTATGCTTTTGTAACCTTCCGTTAGGTTATTGTATTATTCTTAAAGCATTATCCGTTTAAACAATGCTAAATTTAAAACTTAAATTTTCTTTTTGTATTTAAACAAACCGTTGTTAATTTTTTAAACGTTAAGCTTATTTTTTTAATTGCCGTTTTAAACGAAATCGTTTTTTGTTTATGCTTTAAAAATGCGTTTTAATATCGTTTTGGTATTTTTTTTAATAATGGTCGTTTTTACGTAAGTTATTTTTCGGAATTTGGTTAATAAATCGTTTCGGAATTTTTTTTTTGCTATATTGGCCTTTCCGTTTATTGGTATATTTTAAAAACGTTTTAACAAACCATTCGCGGGGTTTTGGTATTTTGGCTTTTATTTAATCGTAAAATCGTACTTTGCTAAATTTTTAAATTACTTTGCTTAGCGTTTTGTTACTTTTTTTTTATTAAAATATAAATATAATTTAAATGGTTAGTAATTATTTTAACAATTTTTTATAAATAAACCAAATAATGCCGTTACTTTTCGAAAGCTTTTACGATTGCTAGCAATTTTAAATTAAAAATTGCATAGCGCAGCTTTTTTTGTTGCAGCTTTTTCGATATGTAAATTACCGGGTGCTACCGGCCGTTTTGCAATTGCAATAGCATTGCTTTTATCGCAAAAGCCAAAGCGTTGGTCCGTACGTACAACGGCTTCGAAAGGTTAAAATGTACCAATACCGGAATTTTCGTAAATAGCAATTTTAATTTGCAAAAAGCCTTTTTTGCAATATTCCCCAAATAAAATACGGTATTTTTGCTAAAAAAATTCGTTAAAAGCATAGTAATTTTTGCGTAACCTTTTACGAATTTCCAATAATACCCCGTAAAGCTTAAAAATATTTGGATATTTTTAACGCTTTTTGGTATCCTCCATTTTAAAATTGCAATAACCTTATCCGGCAAAATTTCGACCCCGAATTTGGTTATTTTAAACCTTAAAAAATCGATATTATCCGTTTCGAATTTGCATTTGGCCGGGTTAACGTAAAGTTTAAACCGTTCGAATCGTTTTAGCACCGTTTTTATTATTTCGCGGTGCTTTTTTTATATTTTCAAAAAAATAAAAATATTATTTAAATATATAATGCAATTGCTATTAATTAATTTTCCAAACGTTATATTAATAAAATTTTGGAACGTTATTAAGGCGTTGGCCAAACCGAAAGGCATTACTAAATATTCGTAATGTTTATATTTGCAACGAAAAGCAATTTTCCATTCGTTTTTTTATCGAATCCGTATTTTGTAATAAACGTTTTTTAAATCCAGCTTAATAAAATACAAACTTTTAAATACCCGGTTAAATATTTCGTAAATTAGCAAAAATGTTAACCGGTTTTTCCTGGTAACCTTGTTAAAATCCCGATAATTAATATAAAAGCAAAGCTTCCCGTCCTTTTTTAAAACGAATAAAATTCCGGCGCCGGCGGGGTTGGTTAAATGCCGAATCCAACCTTTCGTTATAACCTCGTCGAAATATCCCCAAAAGGTTTTTAATTCCTTTTTGGATAAAAAATAAATGCTTTCGTAAAGCGGCATCGTTTTTTCCTCCAATTTAATTGCGTAATTCCAACTTGTATGTTTTAGCAAAAGGTTCGATTTATAAAGCTACGCATATTTTGCAATTATTTCCTTAACCTATTCCGGGAAAACTTTTAGCCTTTTCCCGGGGTTTTCCGGGGTTTCCGGGCGTGCAACCGTTAGTACGGCTATTGCTTGTCCCAATTAAATTAGCTTTTTAGCTATTTCCAACAAAATTATTTTAACCTTTTTAATAATTACCGGAAACCTTTACTTTATATTTTTAAACCGAATTTTAATATCCTTTTGCTAAAGTTAAAGCATGCTTAACGTAATATTATACCCGGCCCGGGGCATTATTACGTAAAATACCATTAATTTTTGGGTTATTCCCTAACTATTCGTTACCCAAATTTTATATTTTTTTACCTTTAGCGTGGGCATGCGTTTTTTGGTATCGAACCATGCTAAATAACCCCCGTTTAGCATTGGTATCTTTTTTGCTTTTACCAAAAAACGGTTGTACAACAAATTAACGTTGTTTTTATTATTAACCAGCGCTTTTAACTTTACCCGGCGACCGTTAATCCGTAAATACATTTCGATTTTTTAACGCGTTTTAACCGCCGGGGCGCATTTTTAAACCCCGGTGCTTAAACGGCTAAATAACGGTATCGAATTAAATAGCAATATTTTGCTTTTTTTAAAGCACGCCGGCCGGATATGGCCTAGCTCCCCATACCCGTAACACCGTACTTTGGGCCTTTTCCCTTTTGCCCTTTGTATGGTTGCTAAAGCCAACGAACTTTCCGGGTTATCCGTTCGTATTTTGCATGTTATAACGATATGGCCTAATTGCCCGCATTTAAAGCAAGTAACCGGCTTTTTGGGGGCTAAAATACTTATATCCCCCGGGGTTCCTTTGTACGGTCCTAATATCATTTTTGCTTTAAAAGCTTTGGTTTATAATTTTTTTATAATGTAAAAAAAGCTTTTAAATGTTACCCGTTTTTAAATTTCGGGGCAAAACCGGTTAAAAAGCAATATTATCCTTATTTATTCGGGTGCTAATTCGAAAAAATTGTTTTTTACCAAATCCTAACAAATCCGGAACGCTTCGAACAATTCGTAATCCTTTTATTTAATAACGGTATCCCCCGCAAGCTTTTTAATTATTAATTACATTTGCGAATTAGGGTTTTTCGACTTTGCTTAAAATTAATGCAAAAAATCGGCTTAAATAAGCAATACCCCGGTATTTAAGTAATGCATTTGCTTGTATTTTATCCATTGTGCCCGTTAACGATGGTTAAAAATGCTAAAAGTTATTTAAACCTTTACACGGTCCTTACCGTAACGTTCCCTTTTGCTTTTAAAAATAAATTTATAATTATTAATGTAATGGGCGATATTTTGCCAAATTGCCAATTTTTTAAGCATAAAAGGTTTAAAAGTAATTTTGCTTTACGTAAAACCTTTCCGTTGCTTAAAAGTATTTTTTTTATTTTCGTTTAAGCCTTTATGCGCATATTTCGACCTTTTATTTTGGATTTTTTAAATTAAACGGGCGCGTTTGCTTTAAATTTCTAGCGCGTTATTTATTTTTTGCAATTTTTTTACGGAAAGGTTTTCGAAATTGTTGGAAATTTGCGGGGCTTTTTTAATATTTTGTTCCGGTAGCCCAACGGCCTTTTCCAACGTATTCGACGTAGCGTTGGGCGTTATTGTAAGCGGTACGAGGTTGCAAATACCCTTTTCAAACTTGTTCGATCCTTTCCGGTAATTACCCGGGCCTATTCTTTAAATAAAAAAAATGTAAAAAAAGGAATAATATATTAAAGGTTAATTGGTACAAAAGCGGGTAATTACCGGGTTACGGGCCGGATACGGTATTTTTTTTATTAAACCTCCGTAAATTTCTTACTAAAAATGCTATCGTTAATAAAAATTGTTCCTTTTTAACTTTTTTTTTTTATGCCTTTTTAGGCACCCGGGGTTGGTTTTTTAAATCTTTCGCGCTCCAAACGCTTTCGTACAATTTAAGCTTTACCCTATTTTTTAATTTCGCCATTATGCTTTGGCCGCGATACCGGTAACTCGCCGGCATATCCCCGGGGGGTCCGTGCCCGGCTGGCTGCCAGCGCCCCCTTTTTCCTTTTTTGCCGGCCGGTTTCGCCCGTGCATTTAACGCTCCCCGCTTTTTACCGGGCGGTTTCGCCCGTGCTCCTAACAAAAAAAGGTTTTGCTTTTTTTGCTTAAGCTTGCTAGCTTATCCTTTAAATATGCTATTGGATTTTTTTTTTTACCTTTTAAATTTTTTTAAATTTGGGGCTTTTTACAAGCTTTAAAGCTATTGCTAACTTTTTTTTAAATGGTATTTTTACAAAGCCTTTTGGTAATTCCCAAAATTTATTGTATTTTTTTACGTGTTATGCTTATCCCTTTAGCCTTTCCATTTAACGAAGTATTGCTTTTTGCGGTAACGCGTTCGCTCGTTAAAAATGGCTTTAACCTTTTACTTTTGGTTAAGGTTAATTTTTATTAATTTAATGCTTTTAAAGCCCGAAAGCGCTGGTTTTAGCAAAAAAACGTAAAAAACCGGGTGGATGCGCATAGTTAATAGCAATTAAAATTCGTAATTAATTAAAAAAATAATACAAATAACCCGAAAAGGTCCTTATCTTTTCCTATCCAGCTTATTGCTTAGCCTTTTTATTTTAATATTAACGCGCAAAAAGGTAAGCGTTATCCCTTTTTTTAAAAGTTAATCCTTTAATCCTTTTTTTATTGGTTTGCTTTGTTATTCGGTAGCGCAGGTTTTCCAATTTGTCCTAAAAGGTTTGGTGCAATTTAATAAGCTATATTATTTGGATTTCCGTTGCTAAGGCTTTAAATTCGGCCTTAAGCTCGTTGTACGCCGTAAAGGTATACCCATAATTAGCGTAAAACGGCGTTTTTCTTGTGCTTTTATGCACAAAGCTATTGTAAGCGAATTGGGCAACTAGTAACAACTAAACCCAATTGTTTTGCTTGTAAGTAATATAATGGCGCAAATATTGCTTTATCGTTTTATTGGTTCGTTCCGTTTGTCCGTCCGTTTGGGGGTGGTACGTTATTAACAAAGCGTATTTTGCTCCGAAAAGCGCCGTAAGCGTTTTCCAAAATTTGCTTGTAAATAGCTTGTTTCGGTTCGTAATTAATTTTTGTAGCATTTCGTAGTTCGTTATTACGTGCCGAAAAAAAGCGTAAGTTAAAGTTAGCGCATTGTTGCTTTTTTTATAAAATAAGTACAAAGCATATTTCGTAAACTTATTTATTACTACCAATACGTTGTTATACTGTATTTTTGTTAAAAGCTTTTTAAATTTAAGCAATTTAACGACAAAATCCATAATAACTTTTTGCCATGCTTTTTTAAGCGCTGGCAATGGTTAAAATAGTTTATAAAAAAAGTGCTTGCTGGGCTTATCTTTAACGCATACTTGGCAATTTTTTATTGCTTTTAACATTATTGCTTAAATTCCGGTAAACCCGTAATATTGCCGGAACTTTTTCCACGTTTTGGTAACCCTTAAGTAGCTATAAGCTAATAGCCTATGGATTTCCAAAATCCTTTTTAAGGTTTAATTTTGCTTTTTAATTATCGAAGCTATTGCCCGTTGCGCTAAAACCAACGCCTTTTTTGGCCCAAAGGCCAAAAGAGTTTTGGTTTCTTTTAAAATAACGACTTTATGGTTACTCCTTTTGCTTAAAGCGTTTGCCCTTTCGTTTTCCGATCCTTTTTGGTACAGGATTTGGAAATCGTAATTTTAAAAATACTGGTTCCAACGGATTTAACGCTTGTTAAAGTTTTGGCTTGTAATAAAATGTGCCAAATTTTTGTGGTCGGTATATACCGTTACTTGGTAATTTGCTTTATATAAATATACTTTCCATTTTTCTAAAGCTTTAATAATAGCAAAAAGTTTTTTATTATAAATTTGGTAATTTAATTTAAATTTTTTAAATTTTTGTAAAAAAAACGCGCAAAGGTGCAGCTTTTTTTTTTATTTCGTTAATTTAATTATTTTCCAATTGCGTAACCCAACGCGTTGGTTTTAATTTCGAATGGTTTGTTGGGGTTCGGAATAACCAATATTGGTTTCCGTAAAATAGCGCTTTTAAATTGTTCGAAAGCAATTTGTTTTTGTGCCCCCCAATAAAATTAAATATTATTTTTAGTAAGGTTTGTAAGTAACGTAACGCTATTATTAAACCTTTGCATAAACCGTTGGTAAAAGTTAAAAAACCTTAAAAACGCCCGTACTTCCCGTACGTTAGTAAGCGCTAGCCAATCGGCCATTTCCTATACTTTAGCTAGGTCCATCCTAACTTTCCTTAACGTAATAACGAACCCGAAAAAACCCATTTTTTAAGCGTACCATACGCATTTATCCGGATTAATTAAAAGCTTTACGTTTTATAGCTTTTGCAATACTTAGTGCATATATTGCTTGTATTTTTCCAACGTTTTTAAATATATTAAAATATCGTTTAAATACGCTAAAACGAAAATATCGAAATGCTTTCAAAATACGTAATCGATTATTTGTTAAAACGTAGCTAGCGCGTTGGTAAATCCGAAAGTTATCACTAACAATTCGTACACGCCAAACCGTATTCGGAAAGCGGTTATCCATTTTTGCCTTTTTTTAATCCAAAGCAATTCATATGCTTTTCGAAAATCCAAAGCCGTAAAATATTTAGCTTTGCCGAATTTGTTGCGTAATTCGTTAATAAAAAGCAAAAAATATCGATTTTTTATTGTAATTTCGTTTAATAATTAATAATCGATGCACATTCGTTTTTTTCCGTTTTTTTTAAGCACAAATAGGATTTCGTATCCTATTAAAAATGTTAAGGGTTTAATTACCCTTTTTTTTAAATCTTTTTGTAATTATTTTTTAACCCCTTTTATTGTTTGGGGTTAAGTTAATACAGTTTTTGGTATTTAAATTGCGCATTTAGCTTAAGTTTAATTTTATGGTTAAACGGCCCGTATTTTGGAAGTACCGTTTTTAGGTTTTTTTGGAATAACTTCCAGTACTTATAGTATTTCGGAAATACGTTAACTAATTATTGTAATTTTTGTTTAAATTTATTATAAAGCGTCGTTATGGTTTTTTGTAATAAGGTTTAAAGGTTATTGCTTTGCTTTGTTTTCGTTAAAATACCTTTTTCGGTTTTATTTTTACATTGTTTGCAGCCCGTAATTATTGGGCTTTTTTAATTGCTAATAAAAGCTTTTATTAAAGGTTGTATTTTTTCCAATTAATTTTTAAATTATGCTTTTGCAGTTACGGAATTCCGAAAACTACATTTTCGTTTCGTATTTTTAACGCGTTTAGCGTTATTTAAAAAAATTTGCTTTAGTATCGAAAATTAAAGTAATTGGTTTTAATATCGATTTATTTATTATTGTATTTAATAAATTTCCTTTTGTTGAAATTGACAAATCATGTAAGGTGCTACCCTGCACCTACCCTGCACCTACCCTGCACCTACTTTGCACTTCCCCACGTTAATTAACATAAGTTAAATTTAGAGGCCGAACGCGGAAATCGTTTTGGTGGCCGTGGGTCGATTTTTTGCAATCCCCATACAAAATAATATTGCGGAAAATCGCGCGCGGCACCGCAACCCTTTAAAGGGGAAAACCTTTAAGATTAACGTTGGTAAGTATATAAAAAAAGGCATTAAGTTAGCACCCTTTCCCTAAAATAGCACTTATTTTTAACAACCAACGTGGGCTTGTTAGCACTATATTATAATGTTTAACAAGCCCGACCCTTGTAAACGTAACCTTATAAATTGCTGTAATCGTATTGCAAAGCTTTAATTTGGACCTTGTAATTTAACAGGTTATAAGCCCGGGAAAACCAATGGTTTTAAGCAATCGAAGGCTTATCGAAACCCAATTA